GTAGCCGACTCTTTTCCAAGCTGAAAAGTCCCAATTGTATTAATCCCTCCTCACATGGCAGCTGTTCCATACCCCTATCATTTTTGTTGCTCTTTTCTGAACTTTTTCTAGTGCCAAGATATCTTTATTGAGATGAGGCGACCACATCTGCACACAGTATTCAAGATGTGGGCATATCATGGATTTATAGAGCGGCAGTAAGCTAGTCTCTGTCTTAAAGAAGCGTTTAGTACTTAAGAACATCCCAAGAAGGGCTCAGAGCCTCCAACAAGCACAGGGAGAGTCAAGGGTGTTCAGCACCTTATAGGGTCCAGCCTGCATTCATCTCCTTTTCAAAATGTGCAGAGCAAGGCACCAGCTCTGCCCTTCCTCGGCATCCCCCCCCAGATTCAAGCCCTCCAGCTTTCTAAGAGCCCAATTCCACATGGCCCCCTCCAATTTTGCATTCATGTTACTCTGCCAGTCGGACCAGATTAGAGTAGGTCTGGGTCAGACCCTTCCTCTGTGAAACTGCACAAGCTTCGCAACCCCGAGCAAGATGGTTTATTCATTTGTTTCATTTAGTTAGTGTAGAAGAAAGACGTCAGGCCAGATCTTCAGCAGATCTAAATTGTCTGGCCCCGTTTCCTTTTGTTGGTGTTAACTTGTCGTCTATCCCAGGGAATTTCATATGTAAATAGGAAGAGGATACATTTATATTTGGCGTTAAGAAAATAATGATAAAAAAGATCTAGAAAAAGAGTTTTATGATGCTTCTGTAGTTAGAGTCTATGTAAAAAGCAAAAACAAAGCAAAAAAAAAAAAAAAAGAAAGTGGGTGAAATGACCTGTATATTTTATGCTATAAAGGGTGTTTGTAATTTATTTTTTTAAATGTATTTAAAAAGATGCTGATTATGTTTCTGCCTTGTAAAAGAATGGTAGGGGATGAGGAATGGTGTATGTGCATGCTGGAAAGAAGCGCCCCCTGCACACGTAGGAAGTTGGGAGTAAGGTTCCCTAGGAGAAATTCAGGTGCTGCCCAGTTGATCAGCAGAGTGTCCACAGCTAGAAGCATATGTTTATAGAGGTGGTGCACATCCGCTTGTGCCTCAGTGCACATCACTGAATTTATTCCGCACATGGGTGGAAACAATTAGAGGGGACATTGGTTGGGGGTGCCAGTGGATAGTCTAAAAAGGCTTTTTTAAAGGATGTTTGTAAAGAATGAGATTTAGGGACCTTTGTGCCCATTTTATTTTTTTAAAACCAACAGGCCCAGTCTACGCTACTTGGGAAGGTCGAAGTAAGATACGCAACTCCAGTGACATAAATGACGTAGCTGGCGTCAACGTATCTTACACTGTGTTTCCGTGCTGTCCACACAGTGGGAGGCTGATAGTACCAGAGCTGACAGGGGCACCCTTTGAGTTCGATCTAGCAGGTCTATACTAGACCCGCTAAATCAAACCCTGAAATATCGCCCGCGGTAGTGTCGATCTGCCGTGTGATGTAGACGTGCCCATATTGATGGACTTGGTGTCTTAATTCCATTTTGCTTTCATTGAAACTGCAGCCCAGTGTCTGATCTGTTAAACCAACACAAATCTAGAGCAACTCCTTTGACATCCGTAGAGATGATCTGGGTTCTTACCAGTGCATGTCAGATTAGAATCTGGTGCAGCAGCCCCGTGGCTAGTTAGCGCATGAGCAGCAGAAAGTAAAACTGATTAGGCCGTGGTCTACACTAGGGAGTTATTTCGAAATAATAAGAGGAGCGTCCACACTCCCAAGCCCGTTATTTTGAAATAACAGACTGCTTATTTTGGAATTTGTACTCCCGCTTTCCTCAGGGAATACCGCTTATTTTGAAATAGTTATTTTGGGGGTTATTGTTTCGAATGTAGTTGTTTAGAAATAATTTCCTAGTGTAGACATGCCCTTGAAGAAAAAAGGTTAAACTGACTAGTCAGTTGCAGTGTTCCCTGTAAGCTGTGCGCTTGTGCGACCAGCCAGGAGAGAGTCAAATGCCATCCAGCTGATTAGCAGAGTGCCCCCTGCTAGATTTTGTGTTTCTACTGGTGGTGCGCATTCACACATGCCTCAGTGCACACAAAAAGGCTACGTCTAGACTGGCATGATTTTCCACAAATGCTTTTACCGGAAAAGTTTTCCGTTAAAAGCATTTGCGGTAAAGAGCGTCTAGATTGGCGCGGACGCTTTTCCGCAAAAGCACTTTTTGCGGAAAAGCATCCATGGCCAATCTAGACGCGCTTTTGCGCAAAAAAGCCCCGATCGCCATTTTCGCAATCGGGGCTTTTTTGCGCAAAACAAATCTGAGCTGTCTACACTGGCCCTTTTGCGGAAAAGGTCTTTTGCCCGAACGGGAGCAGCATAGTATTTCCGCAAGAAGCACTGATTTCTTACATGAGATCGTCAGTGTTCTTGCGGAAATTCAAGCAGACAGTGTAGACAGTCTAGACACAGCAAAAATGTATCCTGCACAGGGATGGAAAAACCCT